TTCTGTGCTAAAAAAATCATATATATATATATATATATATATATATATATATATACATACAGACATTTAGGCATTGTTATATACTTTTGCATAGAATAAAGTCATTAGTTGTTGTATAGTTGACTTGAACTGTTATAAACCCCCCCTTCCCCAAAGAATCAGAAATCGATCGACTAGGTTAACATTGACGCCATTTTGACAAGATTTGTTTAGCGATGTCAGCATGTTGGCACGTGAAGTTTTTTCCCTATTAAAACTAGAAAATGAACATGATTCCCGATATTAATCTTTGCATTGCAGGAACTGGATGTTTATGAGTTGGTAGGCTGGTTGAGATGCGTATCAGGGTTCAAAAAACTCAAATTTTATAGTGATAATTTTGTTTACATGTTTGTTTACGATGTGGTTGCCCGAATTTGAAGTCAAAGTGAAGTCATACAATGAGGTATCGCTTTGCATGACGGTAAATTTTCAGATTTTAATGTATATTTCGACGGTATTGTAATCTGTCTGACTTCCTGACTCCCTCGACCCGGGTGTGAACGGTTTGTTTACTCGCACCGCGGTTCAAGACAAAAGAACGCTAGTCGTTTCCAGACCGGGGATAGAGGGACTGTGGTACAACCAACTTTTCAAAGACAGAATGACTTCACTAAAACAAAACTGAATCTAACATTTCTATTCATCTGCTTCCCTTTAAAGCAGAGAGATAATCGCCACACAGCAAGCGTTTAAACCTTGTTACATTGTTCTCTTTTCCAATTTCAAACTGATTTAGCCACTTCACAAATCAAGAACAAAGGAACAAAGGAACAAATTTTTGCCAGATTTGTGTAGGAAATAGAAATGTAACAAACACTTCATATTATATGTAAATGATGTTTTCTTAACAATTAATATCTGGATGATTTTTTTTTAAATTATGACCATTTTCACATAATTCACAGTTTGAAATTACTCTTATCCATTTAGTGGAAAATTTAACAATTTCTTGGCAACTGTTGAAGGGTTAGAGGAAGTAACCTTAAGTAACCTGCAATACAATGTTTAAAGAGAAACTAAAAAGCAGAATTTACTTTCTTGTAAGAATTTCACCAATTTCAAAATAAATATTAAACTTTTACACTATTGGATTACAAGTTACATTACCAAGTACATTTATAACAAATAAGATCACAATTAAGGGGACAGAAAACTAAAACTAGATGACAAAAAACACTTCAAGTGCACTGACCAGTTAAGCCGAGACGGAAATTACCACTATTAAATTGCAAAAAAAAAAAACAATTCCAAATTATATTGATTCTCGTCAACATGTAGGTAATTTGAATATTGTTATAGAGACCATTTTAAATCAAAGAAAGCTTAGAAAGAATTCCCGTGTGCTGAGAGTATTGGAGACACATTAAAAATTAATTTAAAATTACTTGAACTTGAGATGTTGATGGAAACTCAGAAAACTAATTATGCAAATAAGGTAACTAATATGAACTGATTTAAGTGTAAAACTAATAAGGTCTGCACAATGTACTAAGTTTCATTGAAATGTGATTAGACAAAAAATAAAAAAAAA